AGTATTAAAGATAGTATTAAAGATAACTATAGCTACAATAACTTGTTAGTATATCACAATGTACAAAGATATAAATTGTGACATCAAAACATACAAACATAAAACAAAATGTGTTAGAAGTAGTGGGTGGCTCAGTGGGTTAAAGCCTCTGCCTTCGGCTCAGGTCATGATCCCAGGGTTCTGGGATCGAGCCCCACGTCGGGCTCTCTGCTCAGCAGGGAGCTGCTTCCCCCGCTCTCTCTGCCTGCCTCTCTGCCTACTTGTGATCTCTGTCTGTCAAATAAATAAATAAAATCTTAAAAAAAAAAAAAAGAAGTAGTAAAAGGGTAGAATTTTGTATGTGAGTGAAGTTAAGCTGTTGTTAGCTTAGAAGACTGTTATATTTTATGTAAGCCTCATGGTAATTAATGAGGGAAGCAAAGGCAAGAGAAATGACGCTTGAATTAAATCTCCTGGGACATGTGGGTGGCTCAGTCCTTAAACATCTGACTTTGGCTCAGGTTATGATCTCAGGATCCTGGGATCAAGACTTTCAACTGGCTCCGCGCTCAGTGGGGAATCTCTCTCTCCCTTTCCCTCTGCCCCTCCCTTGAGTCCCCTGACTCATGTTTTTCTCTTATAAATAAAAACTTTACATCAATCAACCAATCTCCTTACAGCTTGCAGCCCACTGATACGTGAAACATCCTTCCTCAGGAAACTCATGGCTGCCTTAGTGCCTTAACGTTTATGTTGTATTAAAGACTAAAAGTAACCTTAAGAGCAGCTAGCCCCTCAAGGTCTGAAAGCCCTTCCAATCTTCCAAGCAAGCCCTTCCTTGCTTCCAAATTCCTTACAGACTTACACTTATCCCTAACCCCTACTAATTAAAAAGTATATAATCAGTTACTCCTCACAACCCCAAGGAAGCTCTTTCTGCCCATTAGTTCTGTCCCCCTGCTATAATAAAGTCACCTTTTTGAACCAAAAATGTCTCAAGAATTCTTTCTTAGCCATTCTCTTATGAACCGCAAAAAAAAAGAGACTCATATAAGATTTAAGGACACAGGGAGGGATCAGGTGAAAGGGTGGAAAAAGAGATCCACACAGATGGAAACCCAAAGAGAAAGACATAGCTATAGTTATCTTAGACCAAACAGATTTTGAGTCAAAAATTCTAACAGGAGACATGGTCATCATAATGATAAAGGGGTCAATTCCTCAGGAGGAGAATATAAGAGGATGTAACAGTCTTAGAAATATATGCATCCACCATCAAGAGCACCTGAATATATTAAATAACTACTAATAGATCTGAGGAGAAAAACAGACAAGAAGACAGATAAGTAATAGGGGAGGACTTCAATAGACCATTTTCAACAATGAAAGGTCAGTCATACAGATAGAAAATCAGTAAGGACACGTTGGACTCGAACTATACTTTAGACCAAATGGACCTAACAGGCATATATGGAACACTTCATTCTACAGCAGCAGAACACACATGCTTCTCAAGCGCACATGGACCACCAGCCAGGATGCGGCATATAGTAGGCTACAAAACAAGCCTTAACAATGTGGAAAGATTAGGAACACAAAAAGTATCTTTTCATACCACGAGGTAAAAAAACTAGAAAACAATAGGAAGAAAACTGGAAAATTCACAAATATGTGGAAAATAACATATTTCTGAAAAAAACAATGGGTCAAATAAGAGATAAAAAAAAAAATTGAAACAAACAAATATGGAAACACAATATACCAAACCTTAGGGGATGGAACAAAAGCAGTTCTGGGAGGGAAGTTTATAGCAATAAGCACCTGCATTAAAAAGCAAGAAAGATCCCAGACTAACTAACATTACACCTCAGGAACTAGAAAAGAACAAACTAAAACCAAAGTTAGCAGAGAGAAGTAAGTAACAAACAGAACAGAAATAAATGAAATAGAGAATAGGAAAACAACAAAACTAAGTGTGGATTTTTTGAAAAGATAAAATTGACAAACTTTTAGCTAGACTTACAAGAAGAGAAAGAACTCAAATAAATAAAATTAGAAACCAAAGAGGAGATATTACAACCCATATATGAAAAATACAAAGAACCATTAAGAGACTACTATGAAAAATTATGTGCCAAGAGATGGGATAACCCGTGTAGGCTGGCCTCCCAGGACTGAATCATGAAAAAAATAGAAAATCTGAATAGATCAGTAACAAGTTAAGGAGATGGAATCCCAACAAAGAAAAGTCCAAGACCATATGGCTTCACTCATTCTACCAAACATTTATAAAAGAATGAATGACAACCCTTTTCAAACTCATCCAAAAAACTGAGGAGGTGAGAATACTCCCAAACTCATTCTATCAGGCCAGCATCATCTTGGTACCAAGGTCAGATGAGGACATGACAAGGAAACTATAGTCCAAAATCCCTAATGAATAAAGATGCAAAAGTTCTGAACAAAATGCTATCAAACCAAATTCAACAGTACCTTAAAAGGAAGCCACATCATAAGCAAATGGGATTTATCCCTGGTATTCAAGAACGGATCAACATACACAAAAAAACTGAAACACTAAGCTAATGGAAGGTAAGACAGAAATCATATCATCATCTCAATAGAAGCAGAAAAAGCATCTGACAAAATGCAACATCCTTCCATGATAAAAGCGCTCAAAAAAGTGGGTATAAAACGAATGTACCTCAACATAGTAAAGACTATGTATGATAAGCCCACAGATACCATCATACTCAATAGTGAAAAGTTGCAAGCTTTTCCTCTAAGATCATGAATAATACAAGGGTGACCACTCTCACCACTCCTATTCAACATAGTACTGGAGGTCCTGCGAGAGCAAATAGGCAAGAAAAAGAAATAAAAGGCATCCAAGTTAAAAGAAGCAGTAAAATTATGTTTACAGATGTTAACTGTGGTATTCACTTAGCGATACATACATATATCAAATCATCATGTTATACACCTTAAACTAATACAATGTTATACATCACTAATGTCCCAACAAAATGGGAGGGGGCTAAAATTAGTTCTCTCAAAAAATTGCATACTGGTGCTCTTTATTATCTACCCCACATAACTGATGGTACCTGCTAGTACTCTCAAAACTCAGCTTAAAGATCACTTCCTCGGGGAAACCTTCTTTGATACTGAAGTCAAAAAGTTATTCTAAAATTTACCTAGAAAAGCAAAGAAACCGACATTGCTAAAGCAATTTTGAAAATAAAATGGGAAGAATGAGACTACCCAACTTCAAGACTTATTCTGTAGCTACAGTCACCAAAACTGTGGTATTAGCAGGACAGAAACATAGATCAATGCAACAGAACAGAGAATCCAGAAGCAGAGCCACACATATTTGCCCAAATGATTTTTGACAGTAGTACAAAAGCAACTCATTAGGGAAAGCCTTTTCAACAAATGGTGGCAGACATCCACAGGGAAAAAAATAACCCTCAGTGTAAGTCTCCTATCTTACGTAAAAGTTAACTCAAAATGTATCATGGATTTAAATATGAAATTTAAGTTTTAGAAAAAAATATAGGAGAAAATCTTTAGGTTTGAAGGCTTGGCAGAGTTCTTAGATATGACACTACAAGCATGATTCATAAAAAGAAACCCTGATAAACGGAACTTCACCAAAATTAAGAACTTTTAGGGGTCCCTGGGTGGCTCAGTCATTGGGCATCTGCCTTTGGCTCAGGTCATGGTCCCAGGGTCCTGGGATCCAGCACCACATTGGGCTCCCTGCTCCATGGAAACCTGCTTCTCCCTCCCACTCCCCCTGCTTGTGTTCCTTTTTTTGCTGTCTCTCTCTCTATCCAAATACATAAATAAATAAAATCTTTTTTTTTTAAAAGATTTAAAAAATTAAGAACTTTTAGAGGCACATGGCTGGCTCAGTCAGAAAAGCATGTGACTTGATTTTGGGGTCATGAGCTTGAGCCCCACACTGGGGGCAGAGATTATTTAAAAAAAAAAAGTTAAGAACTTTTACTCTTCAACAAACCCTGTTAAGAAGATGAATGAAAGACTACAGACTGGAAGAAATAGTTGCAAATCACATATCTAACAAAGGTTTCATACCTAGGCTACATACATAAAGAACCCTCAAAACACAACAGTAAAAAAAACCCAAATAATCCAAGTAGAAAATGGACAAGGTCAAGAAGCCAGCAGATTCAGTCCAGTGAGGGCTGCTTTCTAGGTTCACATACCACCACAGCTTCTCGCTATAACCTCATAGGGCATAAGGGAGACGAGGAAGCTCTCTGGGTCTCTTTGTAATGGCACTAATCTCACCAATAAGGCCTGGGCCCTCATGACTTAATCACCTCCCAAAGGCCCCCAACTCCAAGTACCATCACATTAGAGATTATTAGGCTTAAACATATAAATAAACATATAAATTTAAGAGTAGGTAAGAATAAATACTCTGTCTACAGCAACTACCTAACATTATAAATAAATAAATAAATAAATAAATATATAAATATATATATATTTTACTTGTCTTATCATATCTTTCCTGATAAGAGCATAAGCTCCATAAAGACAAGACTCATCTATCTCTGTTTTGTTCCCTGCAATTCCCAGAGTCTAGAAAAATACCTGGCACATAGTAGGTGCTCACTAATTATTTACTAAAATATTTACTAGAGTAAAATAACAATAAGCTCAAAGCAAATACCAGAGATGTTATTTTTCACACAGCACTAAAACTGTTCATTGGTGCTCTCTATTATGACATTCTAGTTTTACAGCACCCGGGTGGCTCAGTTGGTTGAGTGTCTGACTCCATCTCAGCTCAGGTCTTGAACTCAGGGTTGTGAGTTCAAGCCCCCTGTTAGGCTTCAAGCTGGTAAAGAGCCTACTTAAATACATAAAGTTTTAACCATCAATGCAAATTTACATAATTGTCATAAAATTAGAATACACTCTTTTGCAAAGTGTACTTAAATAAAGGTTCTTCCCTCAAGTCTTATAAATTAAATTACAATTACCTTATTTAAAGCATGTCCAACATGTGGGTCACCATTTGCATAAGGAGGTCCATCATGAAGACAAAATTCTGTTTTGGCTTTTCTTTCTCTTTGCCATGAATAAAGTTCTGAAAATCCACATTTCTGTTTAAAAAGAACCAAACATCAACCAAATTCATACTCCCTGAATCTTACCATAAGTAACAGTCAGCATTTGCTGATTTCTTATCCCATACCATTGTATTCAACTCTAAAACCCAATGGTGAGGTACTAAATGCACATCAGAGGCCTCATTTTCTAAAACTTTTTAATAGTTTCTCCATAGGCTTCAGATGGAAACCCAAGTTCTTTATAAGGTAAACAGGGCCCAACAAAGGTTAGTACCACCAATTTCTGGCCAGTCTCTGAGCACACCCCATCCTCCACGCCTCAGTCCAGCCAGGCTGAAGGGACTGCAGACCACACTCCAGCCCCCCAGACCCTCCCCAGACCCCCTTCCCCCACACACAGACACTCTATTCTTGCTCTCTTTTGGCCTCAACACTTGCTACCTTCCAAATCCCAACAATACTCACTGAAGCCCTACTGCCCTTCTCACACCTACTGTGCCCCCCTGGCCCAGTCACTTTGCCCTTATGGGCTTGTTCCCTTATTTGAAAAAAATGGTAGTAATAGACAATTCACAGAGCTGGTGTGAAAATTACACCAGAAAACATTGAAATTGTTACAGTTCCTAGCATATCCATGCTACTGAACAAAACACTTTTAAAAAAGTAGATGGTGGGGCGCCTGGGTGGCTCAGTGGGTTAAAGCCTCTGCCTTCGGCTCAGGTCATGATCCCAGAGTCCTGGGATCGAGACCCGCAGCGGGCTCTCTGCTCCGCAGGGAGCCTGCTTCCTCCTCTCTCTCTGCCTGTCTCTCTGCCTACTTGTGATCTCTGTCTGTCAAATGAATAAATAAAATCTTTTATAAAAAAAAAAAAAAAAGTAGATGGCCAGGGACGCCTGGGTGGCTCAGTCCGGTAAGCCACTGCCTTCGGCTCAGGTCATGATCCCAGCCTCCTGGGACCGATTCCACATAGGGATCCTTCCTTGCTCGGCAGGGGGCCTGCTTCTCTCCGCCTCCGCCTGCCACTGCCTGCCTGTGCTTGCGCTCGCTCCCGCTCTCTCTCTCTGACAAATGAATGAATAAATAAATAAATAAATAAATAAAATCTTAAAAAAAAAAAAAAAGTAGATGGCCAAAACAGGTTTATATAAAACAGAGTCTAGAACTCTGATAACTGCCCTAAGAAGATTTAGGCTAAGCTAACGTACTTCACCAATGTAGGCTGACTATCGGAGATCCTAAAGACTCGGGAACTACAGAAGCTAACAAGAGAATCTGCCTTAGAAAGTTAGTCTAGGACCGGAGACAGATGCAGATTTTAGGAAGGCGGTGAAGTGCAGCTACTCTACTCTGCAAACAAGCCAGAATTCCAACGAGGCGCCTACTGACACCACAAGAGTAAGCTTCAACTGTCCCACATCATCGAATTTGTATTTATATCTGCCCATGTTAATTTGCTTTTCACACGCCACTGGAAAGGTGTCCAAATTCAACTTTGGGGGGCCTAAAAAAATATGGGACTTGTAGTCAGTGCTGTGCTGCTAGGTGAGCATCCTCTTCAAGACTCGGCTCTGGAACCTCTGAGGGAGTCACCCCGAGGTTTCCGAGCAAGAAACCCTGGGCGGAGCAGAGGATTTCCACTGGCCCCGGCCACGACGCGCCCGCCCAAAGGGGCCCAGGGCCTGCTGCCAGGTCCCACCCGCCAGGGGTGTGGTCGCCCGGAGCGGCGGCCGGCGAGGGCCCGTCTTCCCACCGCCCCCCGGCCAGGTCGGGCCTCCCTGCCCACCTGCTGGATCTCCAGCTCCGTGTCGGGCTGCTGGCGGCCCAGCAGCTTCATGGGGAAGCTGGTCTGCGGCAGCAGCACCGTGTCCCGGTATCTGCCATTATTCGAGCTCTGCAGCTGGTTACTGGCTCCGGTGACTGACCGCACCAAAAGCCTCCCCGTCGTCCCTCGCCACGCCGGGTGACAACGAAGGCGGGGCGGCACCCATAAATTCCGGGCCGCGGCCAGAGCCGCGGCTCCCGGCCCGCGCGGGTGCAGCCCCCAAAGCATGGCGGGCCAACCCCGGCCTCCCCGTGAGCGCCAGTCCTCCGCGGGAGGTTCCCGCCGGGGATAAGGAAAACCGGGACCCCAGAGAACCTCCACGAGTTCTGCCGAGTGCGCACGCGCGCGGCGCACGGAAGAGGCGGGAAGCAGGCCCTTCCCAGAGACCGCAAGAAGGCAGCCATCCCGGGTTTTGGAAGCAACCGGGGCGGGGCCGGGCTGACTCTGAGGCCCAGGGCAAGGTGTGGCGGGCTGGCCGGGGCTCAGATTTCAATCACAGAGCCCTGACTTTGTTTTTTAATGTATTCAGTACATCTAGTATATATAATATATAGCAAATATTTAAGAATTTTTAGTATAACTAAGATATCACTTCAACCTATAATTAATATAAAATTATAAAAAAGATTACATTCTTTGTTTCAGTGTGCATTTTACAAACATAGCATCTCGATTTGGGTTAGTAATTTGCCACTCAACAACCACACGGAATAATGGCTACCTCAAGGGGTAGCATCTCTTTAGCTGAGTGCAAAGTTCAGTTCCAATATTGTAAACCAATCTAATTATGTAATTTTCAGATTCCCTATATCGCACTCCGTTTGTCCACTTATGTCCCACTCCTACAGAATTGTATACAGGTGTAAGACTTGAGATCTGGTTTCTGACTTCTATCTACCCGCCTTATATCCCACTTTTTGGAAGTTTGGGTTAGGCCTCTTTTACATAAAAAGTGAAAATAGCATTAAGCATTTGTCTTGCAACAAGACTACATAGAGGCAGCAGGCACCCCAAGTCACCAGAGCGGCCCCACCAAGCTCCTGTCCTGGGAATTACTCTCAGAATCTCAGCATTAGCTGCTAGCCCTTTGGACTATGTCTGTGAGCATCTGTGCTCTATCTCGATTTATTTTGGGCATTTGTCAGCAAGATGTATCCTAAGGAATCAGGAAAGCTTAAGAAAAGTTATTTTGGGGCATCTGGGAGTGCTAAAAAATTTTCCATTTAAATTAATGATAATTGCTTCTTTGCTTTATTCCATTTAGGCTTATGAAAGTTTTCATAGGAACAATACTTTCAGCGAGCAGGGCGAAATCTGTATTTGGTTAGCCAGGTCATTGCAGTTCACAATTGTTACCTTTTCATTGTAAAGTGTACCTCTCTCCTCCTATTCATAAGACACAAAATCTAGAAGACTTGGCTTGCATAAATTAAAAAATGGACCAATTTTCACAAAAATAAAAAGAAAATTTTATATCATTAAACCTATTAAAGTGAAGACATAACTGCCAAAACAACCCTCTGTGGTGAGGGAGGTGTTATAGTTATTGCCATTGTACAGATAAGGAAATTGAGGCACATAGTGATAAGTAACTTACCCAAGGTCACACAACTAAGTGGCAGGGCTGGGATTCAAACCCAGGCAGTTGGCTTCCAGTACCCATACGGATGATCACCATAATATATTGCCTCTCCTACACTATGATGTGGGAGAGAACATTTGCAAACACATTTTAAAAATTAATATCCAGGGGTGTCTGGGTGGTTCAACTGGTTAAGTGTTCAACTCTTGATCTCAGCCCAGTTTGGATCCAAGGTCATGAGTTCAAGCCCTGTGATGGGCTCCACCCTGGGCATGGAGCCTATTAAAAAAATTCATATCCAAAATGTATAAGGAGTTGCTACAAATCAGGAAAAGAAATATAAACAACCTAATGGGAAAAAAACTCATAGGATAAGAATAGGCAATTCATAGAAAAATGGAAAAAGCCAATATACATACTCAAATATACTCAAACAAAGATACTCAGCTTTAGGAGTCATCAAGGACAGGCAGTTAAAACAAGATATCATTTCCATCCAACAGATGAAAGCAAAAATCAAGAGGTTTGGTAACAAGGACTGGGAGGGTGTATGAAAGTGGCCTCTCTCACAGTGTTGGTAGTAATGTATAATTTGTACTGCCTTTTTGAATGGCAGTTTGGCAATATCTGTCACCATTTCAAAGGTATTTCACTTTGGACCTGAACTTCTGCATCTGGGAATGTATCCTGTGAACCTTAGTCTCAAGGAGCACAATAAGGAGTGCATAGAGGAGCTCTTCTAACCAACCCCTACATAACACATTGCTGAATTCAACTGTGTTCTCTGTCTCCCTATAAATTCTGTCCTGAGGGTACACTCAGCCCTCAGTGCAGAAGGCTACCCTCTATGCACCTGCACAATTTTCTCCGGTTGATCTTATGGTCAGTTACGTCTATCCTTAGTCTTATTCAAGCCAGTTGTACTTGTTATGTAATTACTTAATTTAATGATAAAAACGAATGTATGCTTAAAATGGTAAATGTTGTTTTATATATATACATTTTTAAAATATTTCATTTATTTGACTGACAGAGATCACAAGTATGCAGAGAGGCAAGCATAGAGAGAGGAGGAAGTCGACTCCTTGCGGAGCAGAGAGCCCAATGTGGGGCTTGATCCCAGGACCCTGAGATCATGACCTGAGCTGAAGGCAGAGGCTTTAACCCAATGAGCCACCCAGGCGCCCCTATTATATATATATTTTACCGCAATAAATGGTCTGTCTTAAGTCTCAGAGTTATTATGAAAATCAAATGCTATTGTATAGGTAAAAGCCTTCCCAAGAATCCCACGTTATGGTAGCCATTTGTTGATATCGCTCTCTGTTGAGTTTTCGCTTAGTGGAAATTAATTGTTTGTTTCTAGCTATAAAAGTGTGGGAGGGGCGCCTGGGTGGCTCAGTGGATTAAGCCTCTGCCTTCGGCTCAGGTCATGGTCTCAGGGTCCTGGGATCGAGCTGAGCCCCGCATCTGCCTCAGCATCCCTGCTGAGCGGGGAGCCTGCTTCCCCCTCTCTCTCTGCCTCTCTGCCTACTTGTGATCTCTCTCTCTGTCAAATAAATGGATGAAATCTTTTAAAAAAAAAAAAAGTGTGGGAGTTATAGAAGAGCATGCAGAATCAAAAATGGCTCACTGACTACTCTCTTCTCAAACCAATGGTTTTTTTTTTTCTTCTAATGCAAGGTAATTGCTTTTATGAAAACTAAGGGGAATTCCCTGAAGAGTCCAGTAAAGTCTCCAAAACAACAAACTGCTGTTGAGTTAGGTGAAGCTAAAATAAGTGTACAGTACTGGGGAAAATGCCATAAAAAATTAAAAGTATTCTGCAGCTGGAATGTGGCTGTCTAAACCAGAAAACTAAATGGTGCATTATGGCTCCACAGTATCAGGAGAGCTAAAACGAAATTCCGGTCCTAAGACACATGCTCTAAAGAAGGGCCTGGTAGAGAGTATCGTTTGCATTTTTCATTTCGTTTAAGCAAGGAGAGTGTGATCATGGGCTACTTATCTAACTTAAAAGCAAAGTAGTATCTTTATACTATATAGAGAGAGAATATATATAAAGGATAATACCTTTAACAATACAAAATGACTATTCTCTTCGATAGTTTTTCTTGCTCTGAATTCTACTCTAATAATATAGTGGGTTTTGTTTCCTAATCAATTGGAGAATTTCTGTCTTTGAATGGATGGTTTTAAGCAATTTACATTTATTGTTGTAACTGATATGTTTGCTATTAACTCTGCCATCTTATGTGATTTGTGATATTATAATCACCGTGCCCTTTTTAATATAGAAAAAAAAAAAAGCGTTGCCGTTCCCTCTGCTGTTTTCATCGCCTACCTCCGCACACAAACATAAACACAGGGAGGCACAAAAAGTGTGCTCCTTAAGTATATGGTGAAAGTCTAAGTGAATAAAGAGGCAATTTTTGCTTTTGCCTGTTTGTGTTTACTTTTGTTAGTGCAATAACAATCATAAGTAGATTTTCTTCTGTCCTGCAAAAAAGCAAAAAAAAAAAAAAAGCAAAAAAAAAAAAACAAAAAAAAACCAAACAACAACCAACCAACCCCCAGATCATGAACGTAACAAATCATTATCTGGTCAGGAAAATAGGGTCTCCCTGGACTTACTGGCAAGCATACAAAAAGGTCACAGGCCCTTTTAAGAATCTCGTAAGTGGTAAAACAAACAAACTAACAAAGAAAAAAGGAAAAAGGAAGCACTAGCGACCATTCTGCCTAAAGCTGTTCTGCTATTGGGAGCGGAGGCAGAGGTGGACCGTGGACCTGAAGCCAGTCCACCGACACCTGGAGTTTGGGCGTAGGCCGTCGCCGATCACCGCAGTGCGGTATTACTAAACCCCTGAACATTTTAAGTGTACAAAGTGGACCGGAAGACGCCAGAAACCAGAATGAATCTTAAAAGCGGGCACACCTCTCGCTGTGACAGTAGGCGACACACGCCCCGGAGAGTTCAGGGGAAAACACGGAGAAATGGAGTTTTCTGGCGGGTCGGGAGTCCCCGGCGGCCGTGGGAGTAGCTGTTCTGCGCCTGCGCCGAATTTCCCGCATGCTCAGTAGCTGCTGTAGGTTTGTCCTACATCCCCCAACGTACGACCTATTGACAGGAAGGCGGCCAGGTACTGGACTGAGGGACCTGTTGCTTTGTAGCTTTGTGTTGTTGCTGTTGTTACCATTTACGTGTTTTTCGTCTAGCTTTGTTCCAGGCTTGTCACTGTAAGTTTCTCCCTTGCGAGTCAGGACAAGGGCCTTGGTCCGATCTGATTCATTTATTGGTCCCCTAACTCCACCCCTTTGCACAGATAGAAGGAGATTACAGGGATTTATGTTTTAAAAAGAAAAAAGTTTGCACGAGTCAGGTTGCCTCTCCAGATATTCCAATTTCGGACCTAGATTCTTGAGTGTCAGCGACTTAATTATTGATCGGTGCGTTTATTTTCGTGCTCCAGGGTTTTTTCATGGCTGTTTGCTGTAGAATTAACGAGGCAGACCTAGACAGTGGGCTCGTTAGTGCACTCCAATTAGAGACTGCCTTTCGTCTGAAATTAAATTTCATTCAGATAGCACACCTTCTTCGTACTATCTGTCCTACATACTTGTAGGTTTGCTTGATTTATTCAGGTATCCCTGAAAATATAATTGCTAGTTCAAAAGATATGTACCTTTTACTTTCAGTTAACTTTTCAAAATCATCCTAAGAGGTTTTAACCACTGTGCATCCTTGCTCACAGTGCTCAGAAGGATGTTCCCTCACAGGCTAGCCAACACTGGGCGTTTTCATCTATGCCATTCTTACACATGAACAATCATCTTTTGCTGTTTTTTTTTTTTTTTTGTTTTTTTTTTTTATTTGTCAGAGACAGAGGGAGAGAGAGCGAGCGAGCACAGGCAGACAGAGAGGCAGGCAGAAGCAGAGGGAGAAGCAGGCTCCCTGCCGAGCAAGGAGCCTGATGTGGGACTCGATCCCAGGACGCTGGGATCATGACCTGAGCCGAAGGCAGCCGCTTAACCAACTGAGCCACCCAGGCGTCCCATCTTTTGCTGTTTTAATTTGCATTTCTTTCATAACTAATGAAGTTGAGCATTTCATGTAATTAAGGGCCATGTCTTTCTTTTAATAGGAATAGCCTATTTGTGTCCTTTGCTCGTTTTTCTACTAGATTATTAGTCTTTAACATATTAATGTAAAAGCCTTTTCCATAATCAAAATTAACTAGATGTCTAGTACATGATACAAATTTTTTTTCTCATTTTGTCAGTCATCTGCTTTGCTTGTGGTAATTTGATTACCTAGATATCTTAATTTTTATTCAGTCAAATTTGTCAATATATTCTATTATAGATTCTTAGTTTTTCTCATGTTTAAAAGTCCTTTACCAAATTTGCAAAATATTTCACACGGTTTTATTCTCATGCTTTTATGGTTTTATTCTTTACTTCTAAAATCATGCATTGATCTGGAATGTATGTTGATACAAAGAATACAAAAGAAAGTTCCAACATTTTTTTTTAAAAGATAGGTAAGTGTTCCCACCATTTTTGCACAGTTTGCCTTGTGATTTGAAATACCACCTTTAGTGTGTTTGGATCTACTTCTGGGATTTCATTCTGCCCGGGACTAAACTGTTTAATTCTTACTGTTTTGTATCATATTTTGGTAACTGGTAAGGAGAGTATCTTGGCTCACTGTTCTTTTTTCAGAATTTGCTCTGTTATGCTCATATTTTTATTTTTCCAGATGACCTTGAACCTTATCATCACTTGATCAGGTTTCAAAAGATGTTATCTTTGCATTTTTTAAAAGATTTTATTTATTTATTTGACAGAGAGAGATCACAAGTAGGCAGAGAGGCAGGCAGAGAGAGAGGAGGAAGCAGGCTCCCCACCGAGCAGAGAGCCCGACTTGGGGCTTCATCCCAGCACCCCGGGATCATGACCCGAGCCAAAGGCAGAGGCTCCAACCCACTGAGCCACCCAGGCACCCCTAATCTTTGCATTTTGATTGGGACCTCAGTCATTCATTTTTTTTAAAATATTTTATTTATTTATTTGACAGAGAGAGAGATCACTAGTAGGCAGAGAGGCAGGCAGAGAGAGGGGGGGAAGCAGGCTCCCCGCTGAGCAGAGAGCCGCATGCCAAGCTCTATCCTGGGACCCCAAGACCACAACCTGAGCCTAATGCAGTGGCTCAACCCAATGAGCCACCCAGGTGCCCCTCAGTCATTCATTTCTAAAATATTTTACTTATTCATTTGAGAGAGAGTCAGAGAAAGAGAGACAGAGAATGAGCAGGGTTAGGGGAGAGGAAGAGGGAGAAGCAGGCTCCCCGCTGAGCAGGGAGCCCAATGTGGGGCTCAGTCCCAGGATCCTGGGATCATGAACTGAGCCCAAGACAGACAGCTAACTGGCTGAGCCCCGCAGGCGCCCCTATCATTCAATTTTAGATCCTAATCCTCATGTGTTTACCACCTTTATATTCAATTCAAGATACCTTTCCCAGGCTATCAAAGAAAATGGATCATTTGATTCCTGTTTTTAATCCTTCAGAACTAGCCCTGTTGGCTACTGTAAAGATTTTTTAAAGGATGAGGTGTTAGGTTGATACCCTTAAGTAGCATACAACCTTTTTACATATGTATTTCAAGCCTCAAGCCCTGAATGTTATGAAAAAGAATCTGCAACATGATTGTGGGTTGTATTGGTTATCAGATTACATCCCCAGGGTCAAAATGATGTTGCAGAAGATATAGGAATTTTTTTTTTAAGACTTTATTTATTTATTTGACAGGGAGAGATCACAAGTAGGCAGAGAGGCAGGCAGAGGAGGAAGCAGACTCCCCGTGGAGCAGAGAGCCTGATGCGGGGCTTGATCCCAGGACCCTGAGATCATGACCTGAGCTGAAGGCAGAGGCTTTAACCCACTGAGCCACCCAGGCACCCCAATATAGGAATTTTTTTGCTCTGAACACTACTGTGATGTCTCCACAGGATAGCCAGTAATGAGGACAATTATCACAATAATGGTTAGCCAGTATGATTTAGTGCTGCCTTGTACCAGGGACCGTTACAAGTGCTTTACCTGCATTACTCATTTAATAATTAAATTCTATCCTATAGATACTATTATTAGCTCCATTTTAGAGATTGAGGCACAGAGAATTTAAGTGGCTTTCCCAAGACCGCACAGCTAACAAATGCCAGAGTCAGGATTTGAACACTGGTGGTTGACTCCAGTGCCTGTTTTTGAGTAAGCCATTGGAAAGCTGTGTTCACAAAGGGTGTGTTCACAAAGGGTGGGGCTTTAGGACGCAGAAGGCGTACAACTGGTGGAGAAGGAAGTACCGTGTATATAACCTGATCTGCTCTAAGGAAGTTCACAACTTGCCCGTAGCTTTCCAGCGGCAACGACAGCGTTTTGTGTTCTCCATCAGTATCAACAAGGTGATTCTCATTTGGGTTCTGGGAGGGGGCACAATTAAAAGGCTAACAGGAACCTCTTTTCCAGATGTGTTTTGATAATATGATTAGATTCATTTTCTTTATTAAGGTCCAAAAGTGTATTCTTTGTTTGAAAAATAGGTAAGAAAAATATTAGACCAGGGGATAATAATATTTCATTACTAATTATGTTTGGACTGAAGACGTATTTCAGAGAAATTGGTAGAATTATTTTATTTGCCAACTAAAAGTGATTTGCGGGATCTCTGTAAAAATCACTGTTCTGCTTTACATCAAACCTGTTACATTCTTATGCAACTCATGTTAGCTTTGAACGGTAGTTCATATAGTATGTACTTTATGAGGAATGTAGTAGAACAAGGCTAAACGGTTTTCTTTATAAGAAAACACTGTGGATGTGGCAAACATAAAAGGAAGTGGTTTAGTCATCTATGAAGCCTGACAAGGCTGGAATGACTGCTTACTTCGCTCAAATGTAAGTGATATCTGTGAAAAGGTACAACACTACCATACAGTGAGGGAAAATGATCTGCCTTTCACCAATGGCATTTTATATAACATGGGGACTGTATAAACATGCCAGCACATATTATAATATGCTCAGTAGTTAAGACATTTGGGTAGCACTTGATTAGTTGCCTGAAGACTCCCATTTCCAGTGCAGAATAAATCAGATATGTGGCTGGTCATGGATAATAAGGAAGTGGAGGTGAGGTCAACAAAGTGTCTGCCAAATTATTTCTCCCGTTTTCTATTTGAGTGTTAGTAATTTTCATAAGCCGTTTTTCCACCCAGCCTGCCAATAAAATGAATCTAGCCTGATTATGATGTAATAAGATAAAGAGAATTTAAATACATAGGAATTCACTTTATTTTCATATTAATTCTAGACAGCTCCTGGCCACAGAGGGATTCATTACCTTACATCAAATTCAATTCTGTTCTTCTGAAGGGTTTCAAACTCGTCCCTTGTTTATTGTCTTGATGTTCATAATCCTTGTGACTAGAATGTTAATGAGAGAAAAAAGATGTAAAGAGCTTAAAAGGCACATCAGGTCAAATGTGTAGTCAGAAATTGGCAGTAGAATAATGACTTGCTGAATTGAGGCTCATAGTGTCTCTTTTCTGTTCTGTATTGTGTTCCTTTGTTGCACTGAAATAATATTGACCTGATTCAGTTAGAGGGCCAAGAGCTTTTGTCATCATTTGGCTCCCTGTGAGCACTCTGAGAAAAAGTCCAAGAGGTTTGTTAGAGAGTGTTCTTGGGATCACTTATGGGAAGTGTGAAGAAGGTAGTGATGCCTTGGGGAGTGGGGAGTTGGGCCACAATGCAGTCTCAGCAAAGGCCTCAGTCAGCCAACGGAGCTGGGCATTCAGAAGCCAGGATGACCCAGTAGAGTTGGGGTGGCAGCGAGGTTGGAGTGTGGACTGGCCTTCAAACCCATCCCCTCTGTTGCAGGTGCAGTGACTTAGCACATAAATTCCCAAAGAAAGATGGCAGCTAAAAGCCATCTGTTTGTGGCACTCTCAGCAGCTGGGGAAATGTCCTTCAGCCTGGAGAGGGTCTGGGTGGTACATTCCAGCCTCAGAACAGTCACTAAAATTGCAGGGTTTGAATTTGTATTTTCAAAGAGGAGTATACACTTTGTCCTGAAGGCTGTTTTTCCCTTATCTTTCATAGGCCAGGGGCTATTCTGACACTCATTACTTTTCCAGATGATTAGTCTTCACCCCAATTAGGTGTGTTGCACGTTCTCTTTATTTGGCAACTGAGGACGGTAGTAAATAGCCAGTAGATTAAATTTCATTAATGTCTAATGGAATATTCATTGGTTTTTAAAAATTAACTGTAATCCCATGCAACCCCTCCTTTTTTTTTTACATTACCCCGTACATACACCCACATCCCTTATGCTCTTCGTACCTCTCTTGGCTCTTACCAGTTTTATGTTACAGATTTTAGGTTACATTATTTTACTCCCAATCCACCAAAATATTAGTTCATTTATGGCAGATGTTGTATCTTGTATTTTTAGCCCCTGACGCACTTTCCACAGCCTTTACACATACACACATACCCCTCAGACATAAAACTTTGTCACATGATCATGGGCCTGGGACAGTTTTCCCCATGCTTCAAAATGTCCCATCTGCAGAAAGAAAGAATACTATAAAATTTATTGAGAGAGCTAATGCTGACATAGTTTTTCCAAGTCTCTTAGCAAGTATTTATTAAAGGATCTGTACAGTGAGGTACTCAGTAAATATGCGTTGAATTGAATTCAAGTGACTGAAACCAGTAGTTGGCTTTGAAAGTAACGGTGTTTCTCTTAATTTCCCCCTTAGGACTGATCATGGCTTCCAGTCACACCGTGTTGATGCGGCTTGTAGCCTCAGCTTATTCAATCGCTCAAAAGGCAGGAACCATAGTCAGACGTGTTATTGCTGAAGGAGACCTGGGTATCGTGGAGAAGGTACTGAAAGTCTTGTCTCATTTCATACCAACTTTGTTTTTGTTCCTTCACATTTTAGTAAAGGATGTAATAATCTGGACAGACTTCAATAGTTGAAATAATGTCTCCTCTATGGAGATCACTAGATCCTTAGTTCATATGAGCTCTATTTCTGCTTTGAAAATGACTCCAGACTTCCTGCATCCCAAACTTTTATTTGTATGGTTAAGCCTTCTGACTGCTGTCTAGCCCCAGAGCACTGTAACCAAGCTTCATATCCTAAAGAAATCTCTTACAGGACACTTAGTCCTTAGTGAACTTGCCATGTTGGTAAAATCTGGCATAAAAATAAGTATTCCTTATGGTCAGAGCTTTACATTTTTTTCTTCATGGAAAAGAAACACGAGACAGGTTGTGGTTTTATTTTCCCCCAGTGTGATAATTAAAAACAGGTAAATTAAAAAAAAAACACTTAGGTAAATTATCAGAAAGATAGTTTATCAAGAGAGTTGATTCTTTTTGTTTTTGTTTTTTAGGTAAGCTCTATACCCAGCCTTGGGCTTGATCTCACAATGGTGAGATCAGGGGTCGCAGGCCTTATCAACTGAGCCAGCCAGGCACCCCTAGTGACGGTTCTTAAAAGAAAATCCTACCATGCATGTGTTCTCGTTTATTTTCTTAAAAAAATTTTAGACATTTTATTTATTTATTAGAGAAACACAGAGAGAGCACAAGCAGAGGTAGAGGCAGAGGGAGAGTAAGAAGCAGACTCCCCGCTGAGCTGGGGGCCTGACGTGGGACTCTATCCCAGGACCTGGAGACTGTGACCTGAGCTGAAGGCAGACATTTAACCGTCTGTTGACCCAGGTGCCCCTCTAGTTTAAAATGTAATTTCTTCAACAAGATTTAGTTATCATTTCACATTATAATTTTTTAAATGTAAGTTTCCATATATTCACTTTTTATCATAACTTTTAAAGAAGATGGTATTGTAGGGGCGCCTGGGTGGCTCAGTGGGTTAAGCCTCTGCCTTCAGCTCGGGTCATGATCCCAGGGTTCTGGGATCGAGCCCCGCATCGGGCTCTCTGCTCCGCAGGGAGCCTGCCTCCACCTCTCGCTCTCTGTCTGCCTCTCTGCCTACTTGTGATCTCTGTCTGTCAAATAAATAAATAAAATCTTTTTAAAAAAAAAAGAAGATGGTATTGTAATTTTGCCCAAATGAGAAAATTACAGGGTAGGATTAACCATTAACATTAAAATGACTTATAAATAGAGTTGTAGTTAAGTCACTCCTTTATGATAAATCAGACATCTATCTAAGGCTGTTAGCAGAAAAAAAATGAGGACCAAAAATATGAGTAAAAAACAATTTAGTAATAAACTCAGATGAGCTAATTATAGGACATTCAACATAAGTGCTTTTAAAAATTAAGAATGGGGTGCCTGGGTGGTTCAGTCAGTTAAGTGTCTGACTCTTTTTATTTATTTATTTATTTATTTGACAGAGAGAGAGAGAGAGAGAACACAAGCAGGTGGAGTAGCAGGCAGAGAGAGAGGGAGAAGCAGGCTCCCTGCTGAGCAAGGAGCCCAACATGGGGCTCAATCCCAGGACCCTGGGATCATGACCTGAGCTGAAGGCAGTCACTTAACCAGCTGAGCCACCCAAGCACCCTAAGTGTCTGACTCTTGATTTCAGCTTAGGTCATGATCTCAGGGTCATGAGATCAAGTCCTGCATCAGGCTCTGTGCTGGATGTGTAGCTTGCTTATGATTCTCTCCCTCTTTCTCCCCCTCTCCCCAATACCCGCAACTAGAAAAAAAAAATTAAGAATAAAAATCAAGACGTGTGCCTGGCTGACTCAGAAGATCACTTGACCCTTGATCTAAGGGTCATAAGTTCAAGCCCCACATTGGGTGTAGAGATTACATAAATAAAATAACTTAAAAAAAAAAGAATGAAAATCACAAGAAAAAGTTAGAGAAATCTCACTTCTAATTTTGATAGCTTTATGGGTTTAATAGTATAGGAAGTAGATATAAGATGTCTTCATTTAAAAAAAAATATTTCATTCTCCATTGTCAAAAAAGATTCAAGCCATTGATAAATATGGACATGACATGTCCCATCCCCCCATCTTGACCACTGTTAGGTATATTCATAAGTGGGTGATCAATTTTACCCAAACATTTCATTTTAATTCATAATTCACATCAACCAAGAAAAGATCATTGGTGACAGATCAGAGGACTCCGCTTCCAACTCTGTCCTTTTCTCTTTAACCATTAACTTAAATACAGTTTTTAAGAATCATTGAATGTATCTTCTCAAAAATGTTGTGGAACAGGAGCATATAGAGAGCATACTTAACAAATTTATCAATAAAATGAACCTGGGAAGGGTAGTTAGCATATTTGATCACAGAATAAGTATTCAAAAAGTTACAAACACTGAGAAAAGAGGGCCAAGTCCAACAGGATATTATATCAGGAATAATTAATAAGTTCCCAAGATATTCATGTTCAAGTGATAAAAAGTAAATCTGATTTACATTTGTTTAAAAAAGAGGTTTTTGGTTGACAGCATATATGCTCAGTAATAAGCCAATAATGTAATTCAGTGACTTCAGAAGGCTATTAATTTTATAGCCGTTTTAAAAGTTTTTTTTTCTATTATAAAAAATAGGAAATGCAGAAAAGTAGCAAAAAGTGAACAAAAATTATCCATCATACCACCACTACCAATACCGTCAATCATTTCAGATAGTTTCCTTAGTATCATTTATTTTTAAATTGATTTTATGCTGTGATTATATTAGATGTGCCACATTGTAGCCTATAGCTAAGGAGTAATGGAAAAACAGTAATAATCTCCTGGTCCTCTGTATTGGTAATAACCTCCTTATCATCTGTACCTGTCAGATATGTCTAGTACTACTCTCCCTGTCCTTTGTACTGGTAATAATCTCCTTCTGTATTGGTCACATACTTCTAGGTAATAGATTTAAAAAAAAAAAAAAAGTAATAGTTGCCCTGTCCTCTGTATGGTCAGGCACTTCTAGGTAATAGGTAAAAAAAAAAAAGGTAATAGTCGCATTGTCCTCTGTATAGTCAGACACTTTTAGGTAATAGGTGAGCAAAAAAGGTAACAGTCACCCTGTCCTCTGTATGGTCAGGCACTTCTAGATAATAGATGGTAAAAAAGGTAACAATCGCCCTGTCCTCTCTACTGGTCAGGCACTTTGTTGATACCTCATTTTTAAATTTGTCACACAAAAGATTCAGAACGATGAGGTCTGGCATTATGTCAGTAGAAAGAGCAGGAAATATTATCCTGGACAAGAAAAGAATTGGGATAGCTTTCCTCATATACTTAATGGCTGGCAATGTGTCTGCTTTCCTCTAGAGAGTAGTGTCCAGACTTGATTAATGCAGAAGTCATCTTCAAATTTAACAATTCTTTTAAGAAGTTTCCACAGATATTTCTAGAATACCTCTGGTGTGCCAGACACAATTCTTTAGGAAATAAAACAAAGATCTCTGTCTTTGTGGCCCTGTATTCCAGCAGACTAGTATTTTGCATGTAGGTAACAAGAAGACTTAAGCATGGCATACAAGTCTTTGATTTTCATGATCATTCCTTGTTTCATTAAAAAGTATTGTCGAATTTTTACTATTTAAAGTAATAATTTTGTAACTCCACCTAATCAGGCATGTATAAATTGCAACATGTCATAATTCTGTGAAAGCAGACTATAGAAGACGTTGTGGCTGTCATTTGCAAGATTTTCCATAGTCTTCTACTAGAATGACTATCTGATGGTGGGGATTGAGTAAGAATGCTGTGGGTGAGCTAAATATATCAAATGTAATTGCTGTTCATTTTCATAGTTTTTATATTTTGGAAACAGGAATTCTTTCTATCATCATGAGGACCTGTTGAATTATTAGGAAAGTAGATGCTTAGTAGATTAGAAGATTAGTGAGTAGAAGTTATAGAAAGATTCAAGTTGGGAATATCTTTCAAACAGCTAAAGATAGTTTTTAGCTTTGACTGCCGTGAAAAGTTATGAATCTCCTGTCTCTTCATCTTTTTAAACAGAAGATTGATCTAGAGATCTTTTTTTTTTTTTTTGAAGATTTTATTTATTTGACAGACAGAGATCACAAGTAGGCAGAGAGGCAGGCAGAGAGAGAGGGGGAACCAGGGTCCCCACTGAGCAGAGAGCCCGATGTGGGGCTCGATTCCAGGACCCTGGGACCATGACCTGAGCCAAAGGCAGAGGCTTAACCCACTGAGCCACCCAGGTGCCCCTGATCTAGAGTTCTAATGTAGGGAATTTATCAACTGGGGGAGAAAGTGTTCTTATAATCTAAAAGCTCCTTTCCAAACTTGAACCACTATAAATCCCGTGAGAAAAACCAAGCCGGGAAACTAGTTGACTCATTGGGTGTTAAGTTCCATGAATCTAAAAACAAGTGCAACTTAAATGACATAAACACTCATGCATTAGGAATCAGAGGACAACTTATTTCAGATTAGTTCTGCTAAAATTTACTTTCCTTGTTGCAGACCTGTGCAACAGACCTGCAGACCAAAGCTGACCGATTGGCACAAATGAGCATTTGCTCTTCGCTGGCACGGAAATTTCCCAAACTAACAATAATAGGGGAAGAGGTAAGACTTGTAAGGAATGAACTCTTTTTTTAATGACTGTTTACCATATGGATTTATAATTGCCACTTTTTAATGACTTCTGTACCACTGTCATTATTTCAAGCATTACATCTGGTGTTTTTTGTTTTTTTGTTTTTTAAAGATTTTATTTATTTATTTGACAGAGATCACAAGTAGGCAGAGAGGCAGGCAGAGAGAGAGAGAGGGAAGCAGGCTCCCTGCTGAGCAGGGAACCCGATGTGGGGCTCGAACCTAGGACCCTGGGATCATGACCCGAGCCGAAAGCAGAGGCTTTAACCCACTGAGCCACCCAGGAGCCCCCATCTGGTGTTTTAACACCAAAACAATTAGCCTGTTCCTTGGACTTGAAGGAAACATCCGATTATAAAATATTTTAGTCCATTTCTAGGCAGATGTCTCAATTCTTGACTGCAGAAGATAGGGTTCCTGTTGTAATATTTAGCATGCAAACTAAGAGATGGACAGAGTTCTAGACCTTTGGAATAAAAGGGATTTTGTTGTTTCTGATTTTTTTTTTAATTGCACACTTGTCCACTGACTGTAACACTGAAAGTGAAGGAATTCACATTTTATGTAATTGAGAGAGAAGTATCTCATGTCAGAACCACTTACTTACTTATTTATTTAGTTTGGTTTTTTTTTTTTTAATATTTTATTTATTTGACAGAGAGAGACACAGTGAGAGAGGGAACACAAGCATGCGGAGTGGGAGAGGGAGAAGCCGGCCTCCTGCCAGGCAGGGAGCCTGACACAGGGCGTCATTGGATCATGATCTGAGCTGAAGGCAGACACTTAACGGCTGAGCTACCCAGGCGCCCCTATTTATTTTTATTTTTAAGAATGTGTTTAATAAGGGCTTAGGATGATAAAGGGCAGGAATCTTATGCTTACAAATAGGTTTATAATGATTAATTCATGATGAATTATTAACTACTGAATCCTGTTGAGGGCAGGTTAGGCATTTGAAGCCATTTAAGTGTTCCCATGGAAACTAGAGTGAAGTCAGAACTCTTTTAATTTTTTTTTGTTTTTGATTTACATTCAATTAACATGTAATGCATTATTAATTTCAGAGGTGGAGTTCAGTGATTCATCAGTCTTATTAATAATCAGTGTTCATTTCATCACGTGCCAACATCCATTTACCCCATACCCCTCCAGCAACCCTCAGTTGGTTTCCTACAATTCAGAGTCTCTTCTGGTTTGTCTCCCTCTCTGATTTTGTCTTACTTTATTTTTCCCTCTGTTCCCCTATGATCCTGTTTTGTTTCTTAAATTCCACATATGAGTGAGAGCATATGATAGTTGTTTTTCTCTGATTGACTTATTTTGCTTAGTATAATACCTTCTAGTTCTGTCCACGTCGTTGCAAATGGCGAGATTTCATTATTTTTGATGGCTGAGTAGGATTCCGTTGTGTGTATAGACTACATCTTCATTCATCTGTCAGTGGACATTGCAGAGACACTTACTTAAATAAGCTTATAACACTTAGATTTTTTTTTAACTGTTCAGGATAATGAAGATGGGATTTTTTCGTAGTCAACTTTGATCAGCCATATGTGGTCATTTTTGCAGTTTTATTCAGTGTGCTTTATTTTTTGACTCAGTTAAGCTCTAGACATAAATGGGAAACAGGAAGGTCTGGTGAACTCTGATGCTGCATTTCTTCTGTCACTAAGACAATGGGTGCTCTGTGAATACCAAACAGTTTCAGTAACCATCCGCATTATCTGCTTTAGGATCTGCCTTTTGAAGAAGTGGGCCAAGAGCTCATTGAAGATGGTCAGTGGGAGGAGATACTGCAGCAGCCGTGCCCATCCCAGTACAGTGCTATTAAAGAAGAAGATGTATGATCCATATGACTTCTTAAGTCTTTGTTGACCCTCTGTTCGTGCTCTAGTAAATAAAATTCGCCTGTAAGGTTGAAAAGCTGGTAGACATAAAACAGGGCACCCCAGGAACTTGAAATCTTTAAGGGACAGCAAAGAAGTGTTAGGCGACCATAGGGAATGTGTGACCTGTTGGTTTAGGGCTTGGTTCCTCACCCCATCAGTTTCTTCTCTAAAACTGTTTCTAAAAATACTTCTAGGGAGAACATCTAATTTGTTAGTAGATTTGGTAGTAAAAACTTTTGTTGGTAATTGAGGCTGGAAGGAGGTGAACTAGGTTGCTGTTTTATGTTTGGAAGGCCATAAAACTCACCTCGCTTCCTTTATAAAGCCGTTTAAATTAAATCTTTGGCTTCAGATAATTATGCTAATTCTTTAGTTGTTGAGTTTTGATTTATTTAACGCACATTCATTGAATACCTACTGTGAGTAAGGTGCTTTGCTTTGAGGGAGGGAGGGCACAAGGACAGTGAGACGCGGTGTCTTCTGGGAGAAGGGGGCTTCATTCACAGATTCATGCCAAGCATTGTAATTCTGGTGGGTCATGGCTACATAGCCTAAGTCATACTGAAGTTCTAAGGAGAAGGGATTTCTTCTTCTGTCTACTCTCAGTTTATAAACTGTTCATTTTTCTTTGCTGGACATATGTGGTGTCCTTAAGTTAAAATTACACTGTCTTAATTTTTTTTTTTTTTAATCAGCCTTTGTATGTCAGAGTGAGTAGCAGCCACACACTGTTTAAAACACTTTTGGTGTGCTCGCTTCGGCAGCACATATACTAAAACATTTTTGGTGCCACATTAAAGCTTTCCCTGTACCGCCCCCCAGACCTCAGTGTGTTCATAGCATTTTGTTGAGTGTTCCGGTGACAGTAAATGGAAGAGTGGAGCATTTCCTATTCAAAATTCTTAGATGGGACTTTTCTCTAATTTAAATGGACTTTTTCCATGATTATGAAACAATAAGGTGTTTTACTACTGTAAAACTGATGACATTAGCTTAAGCAATTCAAAATATAACTTTAAAAATGAAGAAAGAGGTATTTTTAATCTACTTAGACCTATTTTTTAAATGTTGTATGCTTAATTTAGATATTTCCCTTTTTTCAGCTTGTGGTCTGGGTTGATCCTCTGGATGGTACCAAGGAATATACTGAAGGTTGGTATCTCTTCAATATTTGTTTTCGATAGCAGTGGGTCCAGTAAATGATATTTAGTTAAAAACAATTAATATTTCATCTGCTGCGTAACAACCCAGGATCATATTTTATGTTTATGCCCTAAAGCTGCATTTCTGCTCATCCTTGCTATTATTGTATATCAGCGATTGTCAAGACAGGGAAAGGGAAAATTCAGTCCCTTCAAATACCACCCTGTGATCTCTACCAGTGCCATGATTCTAATGTCCCCCAGGTGGGAATAACTAACACAAAGCTAGGTTTACCAGAGGGACTGTGCTGAACCCCCAGCTCTGTTGGGGCAGAAAACAAACAGCTGTGCTCTGCAGTCACCTCCCGCCCCTCCCTCCCCAGCCACCCCTTCCCCTACCACCAAATACCTCCCCTCCAACCACACCCCCTGCCCCCTCATACCCCCCCCAACCATGAGCTGTTTTCCCACTCATAGCTTCACCTTTAGAGATGAGTTTGGGAATGCGGTACAATATTTCTCCTTTCTGAAATTGTCTGAGATAAGAAAAATTAGAAAGCAGCACATTAAAATAAAATTGGCAGCGTTAAAGTAAAAAGACCAGGCTCAGAGCCAGAGTTTTAGGTTTTAGGAGCAGAGCGTATATAAGCTTAGAGTTTTATTTTTGAAACCAAGATCTATATAAGTTTTCTTATATTGGTTCTCAGCTTCATGACTTAAAAAAAAAAAAAAAAGATTTCTCATAATCATTAGAAAAAACTCTCTGTGTCCTTGGGTGAGACATACCTATACATCTGAGTCAGTCACACAGTATATGTGCACGTGTATGTATGTGTATGTGTGCACAGTGAAATGTCACTCTAAGGGAAGCTCTAGACAGCTTAGTGTGTGTGAGAACACCCAGGTAGATTGCTTAGATGTTGACACCCACCTCTGGAGATTGATTCACTGATACCAGAAAATCAGTATTAAAAATTATGCCAATTAAGGGGCCCCTGGCTGGCTCAGTCAGTAGAGCATGCAACTCTTGATCTCAGGGTTGTGAGTTTAAGCCCCATTATGGCTGTGGAGTCTACTTAAAAAAAAAATTATGCCAATTAGTTCTGATGCTTCTTGATAATCTGCGGACTCTACTTGGAGAACCCTTACCCTGGAGACTTGAAATGCAGGTCTAGACAGTAATCCTGGAGTAGAGAGTGAACCAGCAGGCAGGACTGGCATGGGTGGTGGCAGAGGGGGACAGGAATCTAACAGTAATGGCTGCAGAGTCATGGCTGGTTTATTCAGTTGATATACAAACTGTACTAATGAGACCGTGTCTACCGACTTGGTTAAGTGGCCAAAGAAATCGAAGCCTGCTTCTGTCTCTGGCCAGCTATCTCTTATAATTTGTGCATTTTGTCAGAAGTAGGATTGATCGTGGCTGAATCATCACAGATCTCTTACCTTTATTGCAAAAATAACTTGGAGCAATTGATGTGCTGATGATAAGTCAGAATATATAATTGAGCTTGATACTCATTTCTTCTTCACAGGTCTTCTCGACAACGTGACCGTCCTTATTGGAATTGCTTATGAAGGAAAAGCCATAGCAGGAGTTATTAACCAGCCATATTACAACTACCAGGTATTACTATAAATGATACAAAAATACTTTATTAGATACATAAGTAGAGTGTTCTGTGATTTCCTGATGTTATCTAAACCAGTGGCTTCTAGCTTTGTTTCCCGTACAATTACTGGGAAGGTCTACAAAATACAGCTTCCCAGATCATACGCCAGACCTGTTGAATCAGAGCCTCTCAGGGCATAGGTATTTCTCTCAGGAATGCATATGTATGTATCTGTGTGTAGGCAGACACACCGTATGTATTCATATATGTATGTATTTTATGGATGCCTCTTGATTCAAATGTAGAAGTTTGGGAATTACTAACATGGTTCTTGATTAGCTTGGTCATTGAGACACCTGATTTGCAGGTGGTTCTTGAAGCAATTGAAGAAATGAACCATTTCAACCAAGGAAAGATGCTAGCCATGTTGTTTGCCAGGTAATACTGCATAGCACCTAAACTGCAGTCAGCATTAGTAACAGAACTAGATACGCTCTTGCGCTCATTTGTCTTACTTTATCTCTCTAATCTGCTCTTTCTACTCCAAAGAAACTGTCTTTCTTACAAGCCAGAGACTAATGTAATTCCAAAGCAGAAATATACCATGAAATTGCATTAAATGTTAAAGGAAATTGTTGCAGTAAAATATTTGAGGTATTCACATTAGTGTGATCTTAATAGAACTTTGGAGAAGCAAAGTAACCAGAGTGGGGACTATTACTACTGAATTTCTGATTTGAGCTTAGAGCAGGATTAATCTCTGCTTCTAAGATAAATTTGTTTCTCATGTGTATGATTATAACTTTTTTATTTATAATCCTGTGCTGCTTAAATTTATTTAGCAAAAATAGTGGATTATTAGGAAAGTCTCCCATATTGAATTGCTTAAGTGTCTATGAATTCTTTTAATATGACTTTAACGTTTATACAGTGTTATAGAAAGACACAAGCTTGTGGTTTTTGTGTAGACTTTCAAGTAAGTTAACGCTATTACTTAAAAGAGGGCCATATAGTTCATAGATAATGTTGTAATGCATGGCACGTTTCATCAGAAGAAGATCACAGTTCTTAGAGAGGTTATCAATACTTTCTATCACTTCTTTCTGAGATTAGAAACATTGTATTCGTTTTCCACAGAACAATGAAAAGCAGAAGTTAAGGGAACACAAGAATGAAGCAAAGGTGAGAAAAATAGCTAGGGTTTTGACCCCACTAGTAGGTAGAAAAGAGGCAGGTGACTTGTGGTACCCCAGGTGGCCATTGTCCATCCCCTGTCCCAGTTCACTTCCTCCTGTTCTGCTTCTCCTGTTGCTGCCTTTCCCTTTACCACAGTTCCTCTGCACTCTCTTGTTCCTCTCGTCCACTATCCACTCCTGCTTATTCCTTAAAATTTGTTGCGAAAAGTGGAAAAGTTGCTTAGTTCTGTTGATAGTATTCAGGGCTGGACATTCCATTTTTAGTAACCATCAATTATAATAACAATAGCTAAAATTCATTATGAGTTTACTGTGTGCTGCCAGACTGAAGGGATTCACATGCATTATCTCATTTAATACACACCACAGTCCTTTAAGGAAACTTTGTTCCTGTTTTAAAGAAGAGGAAACTGGGGGCGCCTGGGTGGCCTCAGTGGTTAAAGCCTCTGCCTTTGGCTCGGGTCATGATCCCAGGGTCCTGGGATCGAGCCCCACATCGGGCTCTCTGCTCAGCGGGGAGCCTGCTTCCTCCACTCTCTCTGCCTGTCTCTCTGCCTACTTGTGATCTCTACTGTCAAATGAATAAATAAAATCTTAAAAAAAAAAAAGAAGAAGAGAAACTGAGGCAAGTAACTTGCCCCCAGACCTCCCAGTTGTCATTGACGATCTGTAGATTGAAACCCAGGTCCAGGGGTGCCTGGGTGGCTCTGTGGGTTAAGTGTGTGACTCTTGGTATCAGTTCAGGTCATGATCTCAGGGTCACGAGATCGAGCCCCAAGTCAGACTCCACAGTCAGTGCGGAGTCCACTTGGGATTCTCTCTCTCTCTCTCTCCCTCTGCCACTCTCCCCCGCACTTGCTTGCTTTCTCTTTCTCTAAATAAATGAATAAATAAAGTCTTAAAAAAAAAAAAAGGAAGAAGAAAGAAAGAAGGAAACCCAGGTCCAGACCCTTAGCAAATACTCTATAGTGCTTTCTTGAGATAAAGACTTCTAACAATGCAAACTTTAGTATTCTAACAGATGCTGAAGCTGGTAGGCACTTGAAAGAAACAGCTTAGTGCAAAGAGACCTAATCTGTCTTTATGTTGGAGATAGCTTCTTTTTTTTTTTTTAAGATTTTATTTATTTATTTGACAGAGATCACAAGTAGGCAGAGAAGCAGGCAGAGAGAGAGGGGGAAGCAGGCTCCCCGCTGAGCAGATAGCCCGACACGGGGCTCGATCCCAGGACCCTGAGATCATGACCTGAGCCAAAGGCAGAGGCTTTAACCCACTGAGCCACCCAGGCACCCCTGGAGGTAGCTTCTTAACCACTGTGAATCATAATTAACCATTATGAAGTAAGATGACAATGTTAGCCTTTACCACCTGCCAGAAAGTTGTGGTGGGGCTCTGAAGGAGAGAGACCGAGACGAGGAGCACAGTGGAAGGCTGGCTGGCAGCCTCTTGGGGTCACATTTACCTCCCCAGAGTGTCAGATCCCCTGGGCACATCCTCTTTGCCGCCATACTCACTTACAGAGGGAATATGACATCTTAGGGAACAGAATACCCATGTCCACTCTCCAGTATGCTTTCCTTTCTTTTTCAGAATAACTGAAGAGCTGAATTAATAAAAAGGCTCCTTGAAAGCATGACCTGTATCTCAGCAATTAAGCGAAAGCCCAGTGGGCACCAGAGCCCATCTTTACAGGTTCTAAGACTCCTGTAGTGTAGACTCGATGGCGAGCACAGGAAGCACGTGAACATATGCTGAGCTCCCAGTACTTGTTCTTTGGTTCCTTTGTTGCCCCATTTGCAGGGTGAGCTGTGAGCAGACAGCCTCCTGCTGGCTGCCTCTTCAAGGATTGCCTCACTTGTAAAGAGCTGCATGGCCCTGTGAGGTGCCCTTTCTTAAGGCGGTCCATTTCCAGTGACTGGTTATTGCCTGAGTATAAGTGCCTGGTATCTCCTTCCGATTTTTATAACCCTGAAGGGCCCTTCTAGCTTCAGAGCTCCCCACAGGGCTGGCTGAGACTGTTGTTGGATCTGCATGACAGCTTTGGGTCTCCCTCTGCCCGCTCGTGCTTCCTTCCCTCCCATCCACAGGGGTTAATCCCAGGGGTACTCCATGATAAAGACGCTGTCTGTCCCAGAATCTGCTTCCCAGGAAATCCAACCTGCAACATGGGTGTATTTCACTGTAACGGCAGCCAGGGTACTGTTAGTGGGCGACTAAGATGTGTTTGAAAGCATTTTATTTTTTTAAAGATTTTATTTATTTATTTATTTTTGCAAGAGAGAGAGAGTGAGCGAGCGAATGAGAGCACATGTGCGTGACCAGGAGGGAGGGGCTGTGGGAGAAGCAGACCCCCCACTGAGTAGGGAGCTTAATGTAGGACTCGATCCAGGACTCTAGGATCATGATCTGAGCCGTAGGCAGCTGCTTAACCCACTGAGCCACCTAGGTGCCCCTGTTTGGAAGGATTTTAATAAGGAAAATGGGGCAGTATAGTTTAGTGATGAAGACTACTGGCTTGGAATACAGATGAGCCTGAGTTTGGTTATGATCTTCCTGCAGTCCTTGGGCGGGTTACTTCAGGGATTCCAAATCTCATTTTTCTCATCTGAAGAACAAGGATGATAATCCCTACTTCATGGAGTTTTGGGGGATTAAATGAGATAATACATGTAAGGCATTTAGAATAGCACCTGCTATACTAAATAGTATTACTTAGTATTCAGTAAAATATCTGTATGTCTACAATATATGTTTACTGTATTAACATAATGGTGTTACGGTGACTCTGTGTTAATTATTTTATGCATCGGGTAACGTTTTTCTGCATGAAGTGTATAGTTATAACCGTGTGTTTGAAAATTCTTTGAGCTCTGCAAAGGAAATTCAGATGCTGAGATTGCATTGTCATTGCCCTTTTTACCAGCACAATTATCAGCACAGTTTTTAACCCTGACCCCATTGTCTGTGGCTGCCCCTCAGTATCAGCCTGTTCAGTTGCCCTGTCTCTATCGCAGCAAAATACATAACTGCCATTACCCATTCCCACAGTAACAAGATCCTTTTTCCTTGGATAATGAAAAGTGGTAATCAATACATCATGTTTCATTTCCTGGGGACTTGAGTACCTTTTGCAAACAGCCATTTCCAAATACAATAATGAGATCACTGGCTGACTCAGAGAGACATGGGAATCAGTATATGATGTTTCCTTTCCTGAGGACTTGAAGGAATAACTGTAAATTCCCTCCAGTAGCTCTCAAACCCAGTTTTTAACCAAAACAACAAGAGAAGGCTCCGTTGATTATCTCAGGAAAATCTCAGGGTGGTTGATGATGTTCTGGTTCTTTATTAGATTACGTTGTCATATTTTTATTTTTTAAAAAAATCAGGATGCAAACCTAAAGCGATAGTCTCTGTATGGCTGACATTTTTCTCCAGATGATTACAAACATTGCTGTTATTTCACTCGCTTGCATAGGCAGGACCCGACGCCATGTTGGGGAGGACAATCTGGGGAGTTTTAGGTTTAGGTGCCTTTGGGTTCCAGCTGAAAGAGGCGCCTGCCGGGAAACACATCATTACAACGACCCGCTCGCATAACAACAAGTTGGTGACTGACTGTGTCACCGCCATGAACCCTGATGACGTGCTGCGCGTGGGAGGAGCAGGAAATAAGGTACGAACACGTCTGCCATTCCACTGAAATGCAATTGAATTATGGAAAGAAATCCCGAGCATTTCCCGAAACGTGAAATAAGAGCTGGGAGAAGGAGTTAGAGGTTGTAATTGACCATTAAAAGCACATTTCAGCAACATTTGAATTTTTAAAAAATGTTATCATTCGAGTCTTTTTATCTGAGAGTTCTGTGCTAATGCAAGTCATTAGGAGGACATCTTGTGCCTCTTGCCTGCCCTCGTATTCTTGAGGACCCTCTTGGGTTACTTCCTAGACCTTTCTTCTGCGGACCCAAAGGATGGGCCTGCCACCCCTTCCTGGACGCTTCCCCCATTCTTTCACGTAGGCTTCCATCCTGCCGAAAAAGTTGTGAAACAGAACCCAGTTGGATCTGCGTCCCTAGCACTGATCTCTTCTCATCTGATTGCCCCCTGGATAGCACCATGATGACATACTTCAGATATCTCAAATTCAGCATGCTCAATTGGATCTCTTCCTTTTTCCTTCCTGCCCCTACACGCATTCCTCCTATTTCCTGTCTGCTTAATGGTACCACCATTTGCCTAATTGCTCCAGCCAGCCTCCTGAAAGTCACCCTAGACTCCTTCCTTCCTCATATCCCATCTGTATCTTCTTAATTCCTCCCTAACGTCTCCTTTGTCCATCTCAGCTGCCTTCACCTTAGTTAAAACCTATCATCATCTCTCACCCAGACTTTCCAGTAGTTTCCAACTGGTCTGTCTATTCAATCCTAGGCCTCACAGTACCATAAAGCAGTTAAAAATGCAAAACTTACTGTCTATCACTTCCTTGCCCCAAATTCTTGGATAACTCCCTGCACAACAGTTTAAAACCCAAGCCTGTGAGAATGGAATGTTAATTCCCTTATATTTTGGCCCTTGAACACACCCCAGGCTTATCTCATGCCATCCCCCAGCTCAGACCCTGGGGATACCAGACTGGCTGTAGTTCCCGATGCAGGTGCATCTCACACTTGTGTCCCTGGCATGGGGAAGGCAAATCGTAAATACTTACTGAACTGAGTGGAATTCATTTTTCTTCACCTACCCTTTGGAAGCAATAATCAACTATTTTTAGATTTTCCAAAAGCATTTACTGGTGAGAGGATGAAAATGTGAGTTTAAAAATAATAGTATTTGGGGGAAAAAAATTCTAAAACATTTCCAAGTAAAAATGTATTCACTAAATATAGTGGCAGGTGTAATTTCTCTTTGCCCTTACTTTTTTTTTTTTTTAAAGATTTTATTTATTTGATAGAGAGAGATCACAAGTAGGCAGAGAGGCAGGCAGAGAGAGAGAGAGAGGGAAGTAGGCTCCCTGCTGAGCAGAGAGCCCGATGTGGGGCTCGATCCCAGGACCCTGAGATCATGACCCGAGCCGAAGGCAGAGGCCTTAACCCACTGAGCCACCCAGACGCCCCTGCCCTTACTTTTATAACTGCAAAAATCCCATTATGTGTTTTATTCCCAAGGGGTACCATTCTCTTTAGGAACAAAGTCCCCACCCTGTACATCCCCCACCTTTTCTCCTATAAAAGGTGGGGCAATTATTAACTTTTTTGGGCATGTTACTAACTTGTTGGGCAGTTATTAACTTTTTCATGTCAAGGACTTCTTTAAGAGTCTAATGAAGGCTACAGCCCTTCTTCCCTTAAGAAAACAGACCCAAAATAGTTCTTGGCACATAATAAGACTTGACACATATTTGTTGAATGAAAGAAAACCGTTTTATATAGAGGTCTACAGCAAGGTTTAATCATTTGATGGTGTTCTTAAAGAGTACTAAGAAGAGTAATTGGTTACATTGCATTCATTGAGATTTTCCTCCTCCTCTCAGTCTGCTCTCTTCCTCTGAATATTTGAGGCCTGAGTTTTACAGTACTGATTATTTTATGGTACAACCCAAAAATAAGTAAATGACTCATGAAAGCCTGATAGCAGGTTACTCTTTAGAGTCCTGTCGATTCTATCAAATACCCTCAGTTTTGTTTGAGAATTAAAGGAGTTATTAAGATAACAATTTAAAAATTCATATTTTGGTAGAAGAAACAGTAATATGTAGTAGGACTCCAAAGACTTAAGAAACTACTTGTTAGTTTCTTTGTCAGCATTGCATATGTATTAGGACTTACTGCATTTTATACATGAGTGCACTACTCGCGCTTGATGTTCCTCTAGCCTTTAATCTACAGGATTAAAAATCTTTCAAGTTTTCTATAATATACAGTACATTGTTTCTACAGTAGGAAAAAAACCAACACAATAAAAAGAAAACTTTATTTATCTAAGTAGGACTATGAAGACTATTCTGATCTCTTCCTTGTAGCTTATTGAACCACTTCCTCCCCACCCCAGGTCACTGTAGGATTCTATATTTTGTTGTATTCTGTCTATTTCTGCATAATACTCATGTTCCTTTCAACCTGCTAATAGCTTTCACCTAAGTTGAGTCTGACAGAGGCATGGATGAAATACACTTGGTAGAAACAAGCATTTTCTCTTATTCTTTAATCATTTCATGGCCAGGGGATAATTATTATCTCCAACCCTACAGATCATTCAGCTGATTGAAGGCAAAGCCTCTGCGTATGTATTTGCGAGTCCTGGATGTAAGAAGTGGGATACTTGTGCTCCAGAAGTCATTTTACATGCTGTGGGAGGTCAGTCCCTTTTATTTTGGGGAATTACAGGTGTTACAGCTTTTTTATTATGCTACGACAGAATCTTTCAGTATATTTACCTACATTCTGAGGCTATAAAAGCTCAGAGGAATCCTAGAGATTAGCCAGCCCAACCCCTGCATTTCAGAAGTGAGGATGTCAATTTTTCAGCAAATTCATTTTCTTTAGTTATTGTTTATCTTTTGGTCTTCAATCTACATATAGTTGACTTAATTAAACCCTTATTGCTTTGTGGATTTAATGCTTCTAGGGTTTCTTTTTTCTTGAAAAGAAAAATGGTCATTACCATTGTCTTCACCTCACTTAGTTTCATTTAAGCCAATACTGGTAAATGTTTCAGTACTAGTGCCTAAGATCACAGAGTTAGAATTTTTTTTAAATCTGACAATATATTACAAATATATGCATAGTAAGAGGATTTTCAATTTCCATTAGACATAAGTTGACTTCTACTCTTAAACAAAACAGTTGATTTTTGTTCTATCCTTTCTCCTAATATATTATCCAATTTCATATCTCATCAGCATATTACATGACAAGGGAGTTAAATTCATCACAATTCCATCTCATTAGGATGCTAAATGAAACTATAATGTGACACAATTAAATTGGATGAACATACTTCATTTAAACCTTAATAAAGTGTTAATACTTGGTGGTAGAATGAAGAAAACACTTCTGAAAATGGGAATAGTAGCGATAGGGTAGAACCCGCAGAAAAAGTAATCATCTTAGGAAAAGAGAAATTAACTGATACCGAGAAACAGGAGTTAAAAATGCTAAATGAAATTAATTTTAACCAGGGAGAAAAATAATTTTTTATCTTTCAGTTAGTCAAAATTGTTCTATAGTTTTAAATTTAAGTGAATTAAAACTTAAGCCTTTATAGTCACTCATTATTTTTCCTATCTTATCCAGAATAAATTGATACTATCCCATAGGGAAGTAAGAGGCACTTAAAAATAACTAGAAACGTAACGATCCGGCCAGCCACTGATGTTGTATTGATGTTTCTTCTGTAGGCAAGTTAACCGATATCCATGGAAATGCCCTTCAGTATAACAAGGAGGTGAAATACATGAACTCCGCAGGCGTCCTCGCCACACTGCGCAATTACGACTACTATGCAAGTCGGGTTCCAGAGTCTGTGAAAAAAGCACTTGTTCCTTAAAGGAAAACCTCATTTACTTAACTAGGAGAAGGACACTTGATTCTCAGAATAATATACTTTAAAACGAATTGGATGAAATTACGAGAGTTCCCCTTTCACTTAATTCATTGTTGATCAGTGATTTATATTTACTTAGCAGTAAAAAAGGAAAGAATTTCTTGATTAATTATTGACCCAGGCCAATTGTGAGATCAGAAGGATTTATAAAGTAAGTGTGTTACGGTTCTTTTCCTCCTTGTGAAAGGAAGGGTTAGTTTCAACTCGCTATTCTGGTCGATTATTTAATCAACATTCCTGTTACTGTGAACAGTTTCTTTAGGGCACAGAATCACAAGTTGTTACCTGAATCTCATTCTTGTTTTTCACAATAATTTTAAGTTTTCCTTACTCCAGTTAAGAATATACTGAAATGTCATGTATGTTGATGAAACAGATTTATGGAAAAACTTCTTTGTAATAAATTATTTAATTCTAGTTTTTTATGTTCTTTACCATCTTTTAAAATTTTTAAGTAGTATTTGAAAATGACATAGTCTCTACCATGGACATTACTTAATTCTTATGGTGCCATTGTAATGCCTAGCTCTGGCAAGTTGGGTAATTACCTTAGTTCTTTACAAGGGGAGATTATAACATAAGCTATCAAAATTATTCTGACATTTTTGGGTCTCTTTCCAGTGCTTTTAAATAAATGTCTCTGTTACTGGATTAGGTAAGTCGTCTAAATTAATGTTTCTTAGACCCGACTATATATCAGAATCACCCAGGAGGCTTTTCAGAAATACAGATTCATAGGCTCATCCCAGCAGTTTTGATTCTGTATATTTTAAGAAGTCTACTCCAGGGAGTTTGATAATCACTGAAGTTTAGATAATATCCTCAGAACATCCGTAACCTAGCCTGAAGAGGTCTTTGTGGCTTTGACACCTTCGATGACTCCAGTCTCTTGTGACTGTCTTCTCAGTGACTTTCTTATTCCCTCTTCTAGCCACTCCTACTTGGTCTCCTTTCTTGGTTTCTCTTTGTTTCCCTTCCCTTAAATGTCAACATTCACCAGGATTCTCTAGGTTCCCTCTACTTTCTCAGTAGATGATCTAATCCACACATATGGCTTCATTTGGGTTGTTTGTCCTTAATTCCAGAATCTTTATCTCGTTTAGAGCTCATGGGGCGCCTGGCTGGCCCAGTCAGTAAAGCGTGTGACCCTTCACCTAGGAGTTGTGAGTTCAATCCCCTCTGCACCTTGGGCGTAGAGCTTACTTAAACAAAGCAAAAAACTTCTCAAGTTCTAGGTTATGCCCAAGAGCCTGCTTTGATGTCTCGCAGGTGTCTGTGAATTATTATGTCTACAAAGCTCTTCATTCTTTCCCATCTGTCCTTAAATTATTTTACAAATCCTTAAGGTGATCCTAATAACTGGCCAAATTTGGAAATCACTTCTGAAATCCATTTTCTTCCCTCTAAGAACACAATTCCTTATCTATAAAGAAGAGGCTAAACTTAATTAAAAAAAAAAACCCAAGTGCAATGTGAGAAAAACTTTGAAGGCATTTTCTACAGGTTCCTATTTAAAAGTGAATTATCTGAGAGACATATTGGCATGTCCACATTCTCTCTTCATTCACATTGCCTATTCATTAATTCACACCCTCATGCTCCTTTATTTCTTCCACAGATCACTGTCATGCCTTCCTGACTAATCTGCCTGCCCGCCCTGTACTTTCCGCCCTGTACTTTCTCTCTGTTCTACTTATCATATCCTCAGGGTTATTTTTCCCAAAATCAAATCTGGTAGTGCCACTCTCTTAAAATCTTTTAGGGCTTCTTGTTGCCTTCAGGATAATATACAAGTTTCTTGTCACAGCATGTGAACCTCTGATGTCATGGCTTCTTCCTTCTCCAGTGTCAACTCTGATCACTAACTTATATCCATGCTCAACCATTTAAAGTTCCCCCCCAAATACCATGCTTTCTCTCACTGTGGCTTCCATTAATTCATTCAACAAGTAATGTTTTGAACACGTTCTATATGTTAGTTATAGTTAGCTATACTGCTCTAGGTACTCAACATTTACTGGTGCATATAACACTGGTGTGAGTCTGTTCTTCTGTTGAGCTCATATGCTTGTGAAGCAAATCAGATAAGGAACAAGTAAATGATATCAATTAGCTTGTGGTAAAGCTGCAGAGGAAATCAATTAGGAAGATTAGCTAGAAAGCAACAGGGGCAGGATGGGAGTGGCTGGAGAAGGATCTCCTTTATTTTTAATTTATTTTTTAAAGATTTTATTTGAGAGAGAGAGGCAGAGAGGACTAGTGGGGTGGGAGGTGATGAACTTAGGGAGTGGGGGAGGGGCAGAGGAAGAGGGAGAAGCAGGCTCCCAGAGCCTGATCTGGGGGCTTGATCCCAGGATGGTGGGATCATGACCTGAGCTGAAGGCAGACACTTAAGGGGCTGAGCCACCCCGGTGACCCGAGGATCTCCTTTGCATAAAGCGGCTATCCTTTCTGGGAAGGTGATGTCTGCACTGAAAACTGGATGAAAAGACGTCAGTCATATCTAAAGCAAAGGGTACAGGGTTTCTTTTTGGAGTGATGGTTTAAAATTGTCTTAATGATTGGATAATTCTGAATATACTCAAAAATCATTGAATTGCATACTTTAAATTGGTGAATTATATGGTATATGAACTATATTTTAACGAACCTGTTAGAAAAAAATTAAATAGACCCATATGGCTAGTTCCCATCATATTACATAGCACAGCTCCATATCCGCTTCCTGGTTTATTCCAACAATTTCAACAACCACTCAACTCCAGCAAGACGTTTCAGCTAAGCCTCAGAATTAGAATATGCACACGCTATGGGATATTTTCATCTAGATATATTATAAGCATCTCAAAAAACCAGTCTGGAGCCAAATACTTTGCCAGACCTGTTTTCCTTCCTGTCTTCCCTTCTTAGATGATGACATCACTGTCCAACCAGTTATCCAACCTGAAGTCTGGTGATAAACGTAGACATACCTGCTTCCCTGCCACTAATCCCTCCCCAGGATCTCATCCAGTCACTATGTCTGGAACTTGCTCTCTGTTGTCAGTTCTGATTTTCACTGCCTTGGTTTAGGCCTTCATCTTTTATCTTCTCTCACATAGACTGTTGTAATCGCATCTTAACTGGTCTCTCTGCCACCATTTCTGCACACTCCAATCCATCTGCCATATTGTCACCGCAGTCGTCCTTGTAAAATGCAATCCTAATCATCTCTCTCAGTGTCACTTAAAACTCTTCACTGATTCCCTATCACAGGATAAAATCTGGCTCCTCAGAACTCTTGATAATTTAGTGTCTGCCTGTTATCTAGCCTTGTAATCTCTCATTGCAAAATAGTTTACATTCTGACAGTAACGAACTGGCCAGTTTTCTAAATACGCACGGCTTCATGACTCCAGGCTCTAGCTCATGTTCTTCCTTTAAACTCTTTTTTCCATCCCCTAGATATGCCCTCTCTTATTGGGAGCTTTCCTTTGCTATTTTTTCCTCCCTCTCCAACTCACGGTGGATAATCATTTTCCATCCTCTGAGCTACTTTTGTACTTTGTGCAAACTTTCACTTATTCATTTGCCTTTTGTTTCATTGATTTTTTTTTCTTTTGCTAAGCAGAAAAAACTTTTATTTTGATGTAGTCCCAATAGTTTGTTTTTGCTTTTATTTCCCTTGCCTCAGGAGACATATCTAGAAAAATGTTGCTATGGCTGATGTTAGAGAAATTATTGCCTGTGTTCTCACTAGGACTTTTATGGTTTCAGGTCTTATATTTAGGTTTGATCCATTTTGAGTTTATTTTTGTATATGGTGTGAGAAAGGGATCCAATTTCATTCTTTTACATGTAGCTGTCCAGTTTTACCAACACCATTCATTAAAAAGGCTTGTATATTCTTGTATATACAAGAATTGCATATTCTTGCCTTCTTTCTTGTAGATTAATTGACCTTATAAATATGGTTTTATTTCTGAGCTCTCTATCTTGGAATTGTTTACAGTCTTAATAGGAGTCAACAGTTTAATGTGACTGTAAAGAGTTAATGCGGTATCCATTAATAGCATTGTGATGGACAGGATAAAAGAGACAGTGCTTCTGCCTGAACTCTGCCCTGATCACACCACACCCAGAACATTTTGTTCCGTTTTGATCACATTTTAAAAGGCACATTGAGTAACTGGAGCAAGTTTGGAAGAGAACAGCTGGGATCAATTAAAACTATCATTTGAAGGATTACTGAAACAATTGGAGACTTCTGGCCTAGAGAACAAAGATGGGGAGATATCATGAAAGCCTTCAGTGTATGAAAAGTTGTCATGTGGAGGACCCCAGAACTGTTCTGCAGACCCTCTGAGGATTCAGGTGTATCAAATAGTAATTAATAGGTGTTTAGAAACAGAGGGTGTTGTCTTGGGTGGTAATAAGTTCCTCATCACTGAAGGTGTTCAAAAACAGTTTATTTGGTTATTCATTTTTTAAAAAGATTTATTTATTTTAGAGGTGGGGAAGAGAGGAGAGAGTAAGAAATCCCAAGCATACTCCCCATCGAGTGCGGAGCCTGACACAAGGCTCAATCCCATGACCCTGAGATCATGACCTGAGCCGAAATCAAGAGTCAGACGCTTAACTGACTGAGCCACCCAGGCACCCCTTGTTTGTTGAATAAATGACTTCAGTGTTCTTTGTGCATTCCCTGGTGCATCATATGGTAAAAGACACTCAATATGAGAAGGATTTTGAAAAGAGACCCGAGGATTTCTCAGCAAATAAACAGCTATATATCCCTATATATCATATATGTTCAATCACTCCATAATATTTAGTGACTGTGCATCTTTGATGTGCTGGAAACTCTGTTGGACCCTTGTGAAACTTAATAACATCAAAGAAATCTTAAAAGTCGTCTTGACCAAGAGGAGTATGTTTGGGAGAGGGCAGCTATCAGTATAATCTATCTTAGTA